GTTGTTTGGCAGACGAGCATTACTATTGACATTGACATGAATAGAAGTAAATTCGGTAATCTTCGCAGCAGCCCTAACGATTGGAACCAACGTTTGACTTTTGTCCACAAAATATTAAACGTCTGCTCGAATCATCAAAGGCCGCTCCGCCGATTAACGCAACATCAATACACAAGACGAAGTCCAATCTATACCTGACGTATGCCAGACGAACCTGAATAATGGGATATACCTACTCTCTTAGTGCCCATTAGACTGATGCAAAATCCAACACTTCCGCTCCACAGCGCTCAAACGGCCCCAGATCGGGCCCCGAGTAGCCCCTAAAACCGGAACCCATCCGGTAAGAGAAAGACACGGCACCAACCGTCCAAAGTCTATATGGAAATTACTATGGGAAAACCAAACATTCTGCTCATATCCATCCATCAATTAACCATATCGCTCCGCTTCAAAAAACGATAACTGAGCCTGAAGCAAACTCTCTCAGCCACAACTCTGTGTAAGACCACTTTTCGATAGACTGTAAGCATCAAAATCTATAACTGATCCAAGCAACTACCGCCCCATGATTCAACTGTCCAGCAGGCAACACTGGTGTTTCAGACGCGTAGAATAGAGCACAGCATCATGGCTACTATGTCACACTGCAGAACACAGTGTCGCCCACAAAACAGCAGCTCCATGCCACAAGACTATCAATCCCTATATTCTGCAAAGTTATAGCTGAGAAAATTCCCTACAAGAACAGTTACAGAGCTTTTGAACAATGCAACACGGAAAAGGCCAGAAGGCAATAAACAAGAAGTCCGGATATCCCACAGCAACCCCCATACAATCCTCCAACGGCCTGCGCCAAGCCAGTCCCCCCACTAAACGAGTCCAAACCCCGGGAGACCAATCCGGGCCCGACCCGGGACCGTCCGAACACTGTGGAGCAAATATGTCAAACCCATCATGCAGAAAGAGCTGTGATCCAAAATCTTAGCGATGCACTCTCCGAAAGATAGTGAATATGCTGTTGAGTTTTATATGCTGGTGGTTAGATAGAGAGTATCCTCATTCGTCATCTGTTTCAGATTCGGGCAAATTGTATATTTCTTTGAGTTTCGTATCCAGTTTTTCTTTGTCGTCTGCCAATTCGTACCATTCCTCAACTGGTATGTTCTCAAATCTCCACATACTCTGAGCAATCGTATCCCACCAAGTAAAAGCAGGTCTACCTCTCTTTTTGTGTGGTAATCTAAACTCCGCAGCCAGCTTGAGCAAATGATTCTCAGGTCTTCTTATAATGTGTCCCCAATACCTTAACTGAAGAATCCGGATCCACTTTGTTATTGATCTGGGACCATCTTTTGAAGACGAGTTATCCTCCATCTGACACAGTGATTTAATTTGACCGTAGATTTGCATTTGGTACCTTCTCAAAGATTTCCTAGACCGCTTCGTAAGAACCGTGGCTTGCGAGCCATACACTCTAGATCGTTTTCTTGTCGTCAGCTTCCTATTTAAGCGTTCTGTGATTGGAACTCCCAAATAATGTATGCATGATGTTGTTTTTAAAATGCGATCTCCAATTTTTAGCTCCTTTGGTGCTTCTCCAGTAGGCGTCCTTACCATGACTTGACATTTAGTTTCATTAATCTTAAGGTTTACCTCGCCTAGATAGTATTCTAGCACTGGCAACAATTTCTCTAACTCCTCTAATGACTTAGCGATAGTCAAAATATCGTCCGCATATACAAGGATAATTGGGAACGTTAACCTCCCGGTCTGATTTAGTTTTAACCTTCCGTCCAATTCATCCTCAACGGTCAAAAGAACTTCCTCCATAATCAAATCAAATATGTAGGGAGAGAGTGGACAACCCTGTTTTACTCCTCTAGACCTCATTTGAGGCGCAGTTTTTTGCCCATTCCACAGCACCTGTTGCTCCTCTGCATTGATGCAATTATTCACTCTATTTGCAATCCCTTCGGAGGCACCTTTTGTCAGCAATACGTCTGGCAGAGCAGAAAGAGTAATGTTATCGAAAGCCTTCTCAATATCCAAAGCCATCACTATCAGGTCATCACCTGCATTCCACTTTTCCTCTAGAATACGCCGAGCTGTAAATATATGATCCATTGTTGATCGCTCGTTAAGGAAACCTGCTTGGTGTGTTCCTATAGGTGATGTGTTTTGTATTAGGGCCCCTAAAATCCAACTCGCATAAATTTTGTACCCTACGCTAGCCAAAATGATCTTTCGAAAATCTTTCGCTTGCTTCGCCTTTTTGCTTTTAGGGATCGGGATCACTGTAGTTCGTCTCCAACTGTCTGGGATGCTATTTTCTACCCACACTCTTTTCAAAAGGTTCCTAAATTCTTCCAAGGTACCTTCGTCTGCATACTTTAGTAGTTCGCTTTGTATGCCGTCCGCACCAGCTGCTTTTCCATTCTTACAGCTTTTGATGATTGTATCTATACAAGACGTATCCGGGGGATCCACTGTGACTATTTCGTGACTTGGATTTCCAATCAGATCAGGAAGCAGGTTGATCGATGGTGATTCCAAGAAATGCTGAAGAGAGATGTCGGATCTCCTCAGTTGTGGCCTCTTTCTTCTGAATTTTTTAACGTATTTGAAAGTTCTTCTAATTCTCTCTCCTGGCTTATACTGCTTCAAGTTGTTAAAAAATTCAAATTCCTCCTTACGCTCTTTTTCATCACAAAGACTTCTGTAGTTGCGCTGTGCTTCGAAGAAGTTCCGTAGTTTACACTCGCTTAAGGGTTGCCTCTTTTTCCAAAAGATACTCTTTTTCGATTTGGCCATCGCTCGCCTTCGCTTCGGAGAGTTTGGAATTTTTGACAGGGTGTGAATTGATGACCTCGTGCAGCAATTATTTTGGTAATGTACTGAAATTATTGGCACGGTCAAAAATCCATGAAAATTGGCCGTTTACTCTGGCTTTCTGAAGAATAAACCATCTACTGTGAGAAATGCCACAATAAACGGCTAAAATTTCGGGCGATGTGAAACTAACTGTTTGGATTACCCAAAACTGAGAAAACCAAAATCGGCAATCAATAAACATACCAATTTAGAATCGGTACGCTTTTTTTGACCGTTAAAGCGCTCCTAGTGGTCGGTTCTGGAATCTTTTAACAGAAATTTGTTTGCAATGTCTCTCTATCTTTGAAATTCGGTGCAAACATTTAAAAAATATTTATGTTTTCGTGAATTGCCACGCAATGAATGAAAAAAAGAAGAGAATGAATTCTGGACACAAGATATGATCACAAAGAAGTTGAAGATGGCCAAAACCACCGTCTGTGCAGTGCTTAAACGATTCAAGGAATATTTGTTTGTTCCCTGGAAGGTGCACTCAGGGCGTCGAAGCGGTACAGTGGACCGGAAACTGCGTCAGAACGTCATGAAGGCTTTCAAAGCGAATACAGGACTTAAGTTTCTACAAGTATCTGGCCAGTAAGAATCGGACCCCGAAAGCTGTATGACCAAATTCGTCGGATAATTTTATGGACGATGAAACGTATGTCAAATTGGATATAAAACGGAGATGTTCCAAAAAAATCTCTTGGCGGACAAGTTTGCCGGTAAGCTGATGATCTGGCAGAGAATCTGCAGCTAACTGGTGTTCAATAAAAAATGATTTTTTTTTTCAGTCATATAGATAGTAAAAAAAAAATTTCAACGTATTCAGTATTTTTTTTATTAAAAACATAATGTTAATTCTTCAACAAAAAAAAAACGTCAATGAATATTAGAGAAGGGGCCCTGGTCAGCCGTACGACGCAACTTAGTCGCTATGCTCTCACAAGAGCGCTGGACGACACTGAAATCATTCTTATTATCATGAGCTGCCCGGATTTCCGTTCATTTAAAATGTATTGGGGTATCATCAAAGCTAAACAGAAGAAGAGTGGGAAAATGGCCAAGGATGCTAATTCAATGGCCAGATACTGGGAAAAAGAGTAGCCGTTGCTTGTGCAGAAGTTGATTGCACGTATCAATCTCAAAGTTCTTATTTTCATTCAAGAAGAACAAAAATAGCAAAACCCATATTGTCTCTTTAGACTACAAAAAATATATAAAATTTTCTTTAAAAAACGTTTCATTCTAAAGCATACAGATTATTAGATACATGTGCTTGAGAACGTACTGATTCTAAACTGGTAGGGCTTTATAACTTAGTTCTCTTACGATCAATTGAGCTAAAACCTTCTCCTCAGAACTTCAAATATTATCGATTTTTCGATTTGAAAACTGCATTTTTAAAGCAACTGCTAGATACTTGGTATTTTATCAAACTAAAAATAGGTTTAATAATTATTAATTTTAACTGGATTGAAATGAAAAAAAATCGTGATTTTGCAGGACTATTTACATGTTATGAAATTGTTTACGGTTATTCCAGATTATCCAGAAAACCATGATATGACTGACAATACGCTTTAATTACGTGATTCAGAACAATACTTAAAAAAAAAAAACACGCACATGGTTCTAGGACAAGTCTTATAATGTGACCAATTTATCGGTCGCAACGGATCGCAAGGATCCCTGAGGTTGTATATGATGTTATATATTTCATTTATACTTAGTACTATGAATTTCCAGTAATTTACCTAAAGTATGATGTAAAACTATGTCGATAGATAGTGTCATTTCCTATTTTACCGGGAAACCGGGTTGATCCCGGCATACAAAAGTTTTTGGCCAATGAGACCACCACCAATTGATGCAACAGAGTTTTTACTTTAAGAATATGTATAACATGTTGATTGAAACCATTTGTCAGCCGAGATATTTAGTTTAGTCGTGGTTTTGTCAATTTTGGCCCACTGTGCGTTGGCTTGTCGTCTTTGTCGGAGGCCATTATCACCACCCCTAACTAAGACCCTGTTGGAGCTTTCGGTCTGTGTAAAGAATGATTGCGATGCATGACGGCGAAAGGGTCTGTGATATCTGAATCAATTCAAATGACGCATCTGATGTTAGCTGTTCAAACACAAAAAATCAAAAATATTTATTATTATGCTAGAAGTTTTCGCTTTTCACTTTGATTGCTACATTTCATTTTGCATTACTTGGTATCATTATAACTTTTTCATTATAAAAAATCTACGATCCAATCAGTGTTAAATCCGAAAACAACATCAACATACACGTCTTATAGACAGTGAGCTTAAAAAAAATGATAACGGATAAGGATGATTACCAAAGTTCTGACTAGTAAAATTATTCAAACAAATCGGCACTGGCAGAGACTGTTAATTTCAACCGAATGATGCTGAAATTGGCATTCCATGCCGCTCGATCTCCCTGGTGCGGCTGCAAAAGTCCAGCCAAATTGAATCGGAAAAAGACGTGGTACTATTTTAAATTTTCCTGGATAAAACTTTTCTGATCAAATTGTTCGATTTCAAGTTGTAGATTTCACCGTGATGAAGACGTGACTCGTACACATTGTTGGGTTATCTGAAGGTTGGCTTCAAATTAATTTTCACTTGAAAATGGTTTTGTTCACAAACATTTCTGACGCTTGTTTTCGATTTTCGGGGTGTCCTTTGGTTTCAAAAAATCTAAATCAAGCGCCGTTGACATCTACTAACAGTCTTCAACTTACCGTAACAAACTTAAAACACCTGCACCCGATGGTTTTCCCGGTCGCACACGAGGATGTTGCCGTTGGACATGATGGCCACCCCTTCCAGGCCCTTGAACTCGGCATCACCGGAGCCCCAGGAACCGAACGCGCGCAGGAAGCTTCCGTCCGGGTGGAAGATCTGGATGCGGTTGTTGCCGGAATCGGCCACGCAGATGTAGCCCTGATCGTCGACCGCGACGCCTCTGTAAGTGAAGGAAGAGGGGTAAAGTGAGAAATGATAAACCTGGTTTTGGATTCATTTGTTTTGTTTCAGAAAAATGCGAGCAGCATAAATTTTTCCCACCCAGAATCAAGTTGCTTCAGACAAAATGTGCAATAAGCAGTCACAAATTGATGAAAAATGCAAATTGAATTACCGGACAATACAGATCTCTTCTTTCGCACCCTGGATCTCTGTAAATTGATCAGACGACGGACGAGTAAACCAAAGAAAAATGGGACCAAAATTAAGCAATTGAAGCCAGGCTGGAACGTTTTAATCCATGCTTCAAACACGAAAAGGAGATTTCCACTGAAATGATGCGACATGCCTCTATTGGTTTCGTCGTCGTCGTCGTCGTCATCCTCCCGAGAGGAGAAATGACACGACACGACAATTCGCAAGACGAGGATGAGGCATCATGAAATGTGTCTAATGAAATTAGACGCCGATGACAATCAATCATTTTCCTGCCCAACGAAGTCTCTTCAATTTAAAGCCATCCCTGCCTGTGTTACAAGTGGGAAGGAACAACGTACTCATTCTACCTTGGGTGGAAAAAATCCGACAAGGAGGTTTCATTATTTTCTACTTCACTCCAGAGGATGGCACACTGTGCTGATGATGAATTGAGTAAGATATTTCCCGACAGGTAACTCATAGAAAGTTGCCGAAAATGAAGCACACCTCCGAAATTATGATCGATGGACCAGTACTTCATGATGAAGCAGGGCTCGTTTTAGGTGTCGTGTGTGCCGCTAAATTTACTGAGTTGATTGCAACGGTGGGGAGTTGAATTTTTGATGCCAATGAAGATGGGTTTGGAACCTTTGTACCGCTTGAGTAACGACTCGGTGGAGCCATTTGACATAATGGTCAGCTGCGGTTTTGAATCCAGGAAGGCTGAACAAGTAGTGGGAGCTTCCCATGGATCGTAGACAACCATAAGTGGCATAACATTAATCAGATATAATCGTAAATTACTGCAGATATAATTAAAATCTCGACCAGTTCCAGTCAAACACAAATTTAAACCTTTTCAAGGCCATAGAACAGGCCTACTAAACCTTTTTAAACTTGCAATGTTTGCCCTCGGGTTCGCCATTTAAAGGCTGCATCTATTTCTGATGAATACACTGAGGCAAAAGAACGTAATAATTCCATAAGAACCAATGAATGTATTTCAGCTACGAGAATTTGGTGTGAATTTAATTGATTTTCAAATTGCAAATTCTTCCCAGAGTGATGATTTGGGCGTTAATTTCAACATCTCCGGCTGATGAAGTTTTATTTCTTCAGACGGCTGATACTCCATTTGGTTTAGTAGTTTTCGTAGAAGAGACTCATATAACACCTAATACTGGCTTTCCAACGTGCCAACAGTTAACATGGCGCAGTCAGTCAGCTTATACACTGCGGAGATTGCAACGGGAGAACGTTACATGGTAAGCAAGAAGTACCCAACGGCCAGTTCACTTTTATTTATTTATGACTAGTTTGTCTCCTTTTTTCCTACTAATGTTGTCAAAAACAGAGGAGCAAAACCACCCAACAGGGGTAGTAAAGTGTGGGAACCCAACGTTGAGTATAATCATATTTATCTACTGTTGGGTACAACTAATTTACTTTTGGTTAAAAAGCCAGTGGAAAATTCCATACGAACTGCACACAAGTAAATGAAAATTACTTTGACCCGCTTTACCTACTTTTGGGTTCCTGCACTATAGTGCCGAGATGAGTGAAAAGAACTTAATTTTGGGTACTTTTTTCTAACCGTGTAGTACAGTTTTCTTAGTACACTCCCCCCGAAGAATGCGAGTAATACGTACCGCGTAAATCGAATTCGCGTAAATGGAGTATACGTAGTATATGGGATTTGACCTTATAGGGACCAACATGGAATATCTCGCGATCCTGGACATATAGAAGGGTACTGTCTTGGGCAAAGTTGTTCAGTGGATCAAGACTTAAAAGTTGTTGGACAGAAGTTATGAACTTTCTCACTATGCAATGAATTAATGATGCCCTTGTTTTTGTGATATCTTGAAATCCTTGGCATCTAGGAAGTTGCTAGAAAGTTCCTAAAAAGTTGCTAGCTAACAAAAAGGGATGGATGACCTCATCCCTTTTCTCGAACTGGTTTAACAACATTTTCGCTCCAGATGTTGAACAAAGTCCTTTTGGTGTTGGACAACGCGCCTAACCAATCCCCCCGAGTTAATCCATCCGAACATCGCAGTGACTTAGCTCCCTCCAAATACGACTTCCATTCTATAGCCGTTGGATCAAGGGTTAATCGCAAACTTTAAGTTTCGTTACATCCATCATAACTACCGCACGATTGTGGACCGAATGGATGAAACAGGGGACGATTTGATTTGATTGTGGAAGAAGTTCACTATCAAAGATAGCTTTGACAGCCTGGAAAAAACCGTTCGTGATTAAAAGCCTTTTACGCTCAAGAACTACTGGAATGCTCTTTTGCCACCTGAAATCAGCGGAAATTTCAATGAAATCAGCAACGACAATGCAGACGTCGCCCAAGACAATCGAGCTCTGGGACCGGCGCTGGGAGTTTTTGATATGACGCAAGTTAAAATCTATGAACTGATTACAGAAATGGAAACAACGGTTGAAGAAGTATTTGGAGATCTTGAAACTCATGGCGATTTGGACGATATCCATGAGATGCCAGCACCAAGCGCTCAAGAATTTAAGGACCAAGACCAGCTGCAACGCTTTGTCACTCTCGATACGAACGAGGAGCACCGGACGGATTGCTGATGGAATGTGAAAGCCTTTTTTTGGGATGGAAGGAAGAAACTGAGATGTTTGTATTTTTATTTATATATACATACAAATAAGGGAAATGGCTCTAATGTTGGCCTATGGATCTAAGATTGGGCCCATCGTTAAAAATCTGCTGGTTATCTAGATGAACGCGTCATTGGGACGGTACTACTGGATATTTTTGGTCGCTACTGAAATTTAGTCGATTTCTGATATTATGTATGGGCCCAAGTTAGGGACATTTAGGCCGACATTTCATCCATTTCCCCTGCATCAAATGTAAAAAGTATACTATAAGAAATCGAAGAAAACATTGATTGAAAATTACGAAGGAATGATAGAAGTGATATTGCTGAATAACGAAGTCGACTCTCCTTGACTACTTTCCATGTTGGACTCCTGCAGCAAGCAATGTTTAAGGGCAGATTTCATAATGTTAAATTCTCCTAGGTTATATTTTCCTATAATGACAGGTTCTTGTTATAAAGCACGAAGAACATCTCACATATACAGTAGCAGGACGAAGTTGCCGAATTATCAAAATATTTATTCAAAACAATGAAGGTCTTGGTCCACTGAACAACTTCACCAAAAGCAGCAACTTGCTAGATGGCAAGGATTTCAAGATATAACACGAACTAGGAAATCATAAATTCAAGCACACTAGCGCCGCGTAGTGAAAAAATTCCGACCTTCTGTCCACCAACGATTATGTCTTGATTTACTGAACTTCTCCGAAAGCAACTTTCTAGACGGCAAGGATTTCAAGTTATAACGTAAACTAGGGAATCACAAATTCAAGAACACTAGCGCCACGTAGTGAGACTATACCAAACTTCTGTCAACCAACCATTAGGTCTTGATCTACTGAGCAACTTTGCCGAAGACAGCAATGTAATATATATGATAAGGTAGTAATGAATTAAACATAAATTTACCGCTAATTAGTTTGATGTCGGCAAAGTCCATTTGGCAGCACTTGAAGTCGACATTCATGAAATAACAAAATGACAGATACACGCAAGAGTGATCGAACATGATTTCGGAAAGCTCCGAATACACGAATGCGGTTCGTGTCATGCAAATCGAAGTACGTCTACGAAACGACCAGGACGCGAAGTGAGGGAGATAGGACGTACAGTCAGGAATCCTTATTGCCGGATCCTTATTGACGGGCTATCCGCGAATAAGGATACCCACAGCTTATGGGAATTTCACTAATAGGGGCTGTGGTGGATTATCTCATTTGTAACAATATATAGAGCCATACTGTCTTCGACAAAGTTGTTGTGATGAGATAGACCAACAAGCCTGTGTCATTGGATTCAGGATTAATTGGGAACTACGCCGCTAGAGGCGCTTCACTTTTATGTTACTTATGACGGGCGTTACAATATATGAATTTTAGGTCCAACATACAATATTTCGTGATCCTGGCCCTATAGAAAGCTACTGTCTTGAGCAAAGTTGTTCAACTTTATTTAAGAGATTTTTAGCTACCCGTCATAAGTAACATAATTTAACGGCGCCGGTGGTGTAGTGGTAAGCGTGATTACCTCTCACCCCAGCAGGCCTGGGTTCAATCCCAGTCGGCGCCGCCGGGATGTTCTGAGGCATAACATCTCTGATCACGCCTTCCTTCGGATGGGAAGTAAAGCCGTTGGTCCCCGGTTCATGAGTTGATGGGTCGATAGGTAGGGTCCAGGTGTGGGAGCTGCCTTCCTGGCACGTCGGTAGCATTGGTGCTCAGCACGGAAAACAAGATCGACGGAAAAAACAAACCAAAGGAAAAAAAAAAAAAAAATAAGTAACATAAAAGTGAAGCGTCCCTAGCGGTGTAGTTCCCAATTAAACCTAAATCCAATGACACAGGCTTGTTGGTCTATCTCATTACAACAACTTTGTCTAAGACAGTATAGCTCTATATATTGTAACAAATGAGATAATCCACCAAAGCCCCTATTAGTGAAAATCCCTTAAGCTGTGGGTATCCTTATTCGCGGTTCCTTATTCACGCCCCCGTTACCCCGGCAATAAGGATTCCTGACTGTATGATTAAAATGACGCTATGGGATGGAAGAGTGCAGAATGATATGTATGGACGCATTCATCACGCTCGTTCATGGGTCGTTTCGTCATTCTGTTGACTAATTTTAGAGTGGACGGACGCTAGGAACAACGTGAGACAATTTG